AATTCGAAAATTTTTAAAATCGAAATAGAAAATCTTCCACTTTCAACCACTTTCAAGCTCATATCTCCCGCACCCTTATAGCTATCAAGACTCAACCACCATAGTGCACGAATGGAGACTTGGGGCTACTACCACATACAAACACCATTCATGTGCGATGTGTAGTTTTGGCTGAAAAGTGAAATATAGGGACACACACATCCATTTTTATATATCAGGTCTACTGGTAAATACATTTGACCCAAAATTAACACTTTCAATAAAATATTAACAGTTTATGCAATATAGAATTACATACATTATAGTAGAGTACTATAATGAATCTTTGTTTAAAACAGGAGTGTGTTTGATACATTAGTTGTTTGAAACACTGTGCGGCAAAGTGTTCACTTAATGTGATGTTCACTGATTAGACAAAATACTAATAACACAAACTAATTTTTACACAAACTAATTTTTACATATTTATTCTATATCACTAAAGCAAGACAGACAAAAAATATTCTCTAGTACATACATACAAATACAAGGTAAGATCCAAAAGTTTCCAGCCTAACTATATTTTAGACATGATAGGAATAAAATAATGATAGTGATCTCTGACACCATCTGTATGTGGACTAATAAAACAATTTTTTCAACCAATTTACATAAGTCACTGGAAATAGCCATTTTAGTTAGACTTGTTGATTTTAATTTGCATCATGTTCACCTCTTGCAAGACAATATGCCAATGCATACAATTGCAATTGCCAAGGCTGCTGTGAATGAGTGAGTTTTAGGAGCTTGACCATCCACCCTACAGTTCTGACCTGGCTCCTAGTGATTATTATTTGTTTCCAAAACTCAAAAAAGACTTTTGAAAAAGTGAAGAAGAGTTGCAGGAGGCAGTTTATGAGCACTTTCAGACAATTTTTTCAAAAATATTGAAATACTAATTCCAAGATGTACTAAGTGTGTTGAACTGCAAGGAAACTATATTGAAAAATGACATCATTGTTTTACACCTATAACATCTAAAGCATAGTTAGGCCAGAAACTTTTGCCATACATAGTTAGAAACATAGTAACGTAGTAGTTTCTGGCCTATGTACTGTACATCCACATATACAGTATATAATTTTTTGTTATTTTTAATTTTTGTCGTCAGATTAATAGCATTTATATATATATATATATAAATCTATATGAAAATGCTATTAATCTGATGTTTTTGACATATATCATATCATATATAAAAACATTGTAAACAGGAAACACTTAAACCGAAAAAATGCTTAATACTTTATAGAAGTCATGTTGGAAATATTTTAATCAGGACAAAAGACTTTGTATTTTAGTATTCCATATCAGATCCTCAGATATAAAATTTAAACAAACTTGAACATCAAAAGCTATTTAAGGCAACAAACATTTAAAATGAACAAAAACTAAGTACACAAATAAATATAAAATAAAATAACAAACAATAAATTAGATAATTAAAATAAAAATAAATGCATAAAAACAAAAATCATAAAAGATCTATCAGATGAGTTGCCCAAATCCTGAATAAAAGTTTTGTATATTTGTTAATATTATGTTGTTAACTATTAATTCCAATTTATATAATTTGTGTTTTAATATTTTAAGAATTTAATGAATAAGTATTGTAATTTATACATCCCTAAAAAATTACTTCATTGATATATTCATTTTAGTTTAACAGGAGAAAACTCATTGTAAAATTCTTAAAAATGCAGATTCTTATATTTATTCTTATTTTCTTATGCAGAGGACTGTTTTTATTTGATTTAATAAATTTATAAATATATATATATTCTTTTACCTGGAGAATAATGTCCAGCAGATCTGGGTGAATAAGAACCCATTTGGGATCCCATCATGCCCTGATGCATTTTGTTTCCATACATTGTTGGTGGAGCCATTGGCTGACTATAACCTTAATTAAAAAAAATTATTATTAGAAATCTAGGATTTAGGGAATATAATATAAATATTGTACAAAACTTAATTTATATCTAAGAAAATGCACACTTCAATGATTTCAGCAATAGATAACATTAACAAAAATTTTTATAGAGAATTTCATAAATAAAGAAGCATCCTTAACAAATAGCTGCTCTTTAGCTTTTATACTCTTTAGCTTTAACATACTCTTTAGCTTTAACATACTCATATTTTTATATAAAAATATGAGTATGTTAAACATATATATGAGTATGTTAAAAATATTGTTTTACTCCAAAATTGGAGTAAAACAATATTTTGTATGTTACATATTAACAAATTGCTTAAAAACATGTTTAAATTTTGATTAAAAATTTTCAATATACATTTCTATATACAATATTATGTATATACAGTAAAACCTTTCCAGATGATCATCCCTTTAATCCAACCACACTTTTATAGGACCAATTTACTCAGAACAGAATTTTTATTCCATAACAGTTATTGTTTTAAATCCTTCTTACATGATTCAATATCCATTTCTGTAAAATACCCTCTTTGATGTAACCAGTTTTGTCATCCTGGATGGTATGATAAAATTAAAACCATGGATACGTACAATGTAGGGCATGCTGCACTGTTCAGTTAGGTGAAGAAATTTCATCACAATCTTTTTTTTTCAAATTCAATGTCTATTTTCTTCTATTTGGTGTTATCACAGAATATACACAATTTGTTGTTAATACCCTCAACAAGTTAATCTAACTTTATTCTTATGTTATATTTATTTTTATTAAATAAAATAATATAACAAAACCAATAATGAAATTGTAGTTCACTTCACGCCAGCATTTAGAAATAAAAATGTGACACTTCCGTGTTGCGGCATTATTGACCGTACCTGGGCACCATCTCACTAAAAATAACACGCATATTCAGGAAACATGGTTTCATATTACCTATAACCCCTCAACCGTCACTACGAAGAACATTGTGCAATGATAGAGACATTCTCATGTTAAATGAAAACCCGGGGGTTTACAAAATTCTATTAAAACATACAATATCAGTGGAGGAAATTATCTATATTGGAGCTACCACCAGAATGATACGGTCCTGCATCCTCAAACATCAAGAAGACATTAGAAATAATAGACCAGCTACAGAATTAGTGAAAAAGGTGCTAGAACAAGATTATCTTCCACTTTGGAACCATGTTAAATTACTTAAGCATTGCAATGATCGTAGGCAAATATTCATATGGGAAAACCTTTACATATCAGCTTCTTTGCCATGTAACACGCCGACATTGGAAATACCACAGCTATGGATAACTTTATTTAAACAATCCAAGTTATAATTTTGTGTTCTGATTTTATTCCATTACTATGCACGGCACCATTCAAGTTATTACAGCAGGTTTCTTTAAAAATATTTATTTATTCAATTTTATTAATTTGTTCTATATTCCAACCACGCACATTATGTAATTTGGAAAGTCCGTTAAAAGCTGTCAATTCGAAAACAAAGGTATTCGATTTCGCCTGAAGACGATGGTTGTAAACTGTTGAAAGTACTAGCGAGCACGTCTGAAATTTAACAAATCGCTGTCAATAACACTGCAACACGGAAGTGTCACATTTTTATTAAAACCAATAAATTTAGTCTTTCCATTAAGAGAAACAGATAAAATGTTAATTGGCAATGAAAAATTTGAGACAGATTTGAACAGTTTTAGGAATTTGTTTAACCTGAAAGAGGAATCTGTTTGACCAAATAGAAAAAAATATTAAAGGCACCATCTCATTAGAAAAGTTAAAACAGAAAGCATATTTCCATTTCAGACTATTTTAAAAATCAAACATTTACGACTGTATGCATTACATTTTCATATATAGTACACAGAATTGCATGTGATATACTAATAAATAAATTTTATTGCAATATAGTATTAATCAATTAATACCACTATGTAATGTTACGCTACATTACTAAAGGTACTATGATCTAGTACAGACCATTCCTTGAGATGACCAATTTTCCAACATTTTGGAAATGATCCTTGAAGAGGTTTACTATATTTAGTGAATACTCTATAAACTTCAAGCAGCAATTATTTAAATATATGTATAAGAAACCTAGAATATATGCTTTTTATTTTCTAATAGTTATTAAGAAAACATGTTTGAAAAAATTATAATGTATTGATTTAAGTTTAGAATTACTGAGATGTTCAAACAATATTTGTTTAAAAACACATGAATAAATCTAAATACTGTAACAAGTTATGAACTTATTTATTGGTTACTTCATTTTAGTTTAATTATTCTTTTAAGTCAAATTTGTATTCAAATTTAATCTGTTTGTTTGGTTCTGTATTATAGGTATTTTACCTGAAGAGGTCTGTTACAAACAGATGAAAACATTAATAAAGTTACTATTAAGAATTAATTTGTGCTGGTTTTGGGTGTTTGACTTCACTTATATAAATACTTCCTGTTTTTGAAGTGGTAATTATTGATAGTTTCATGAATGAGGTTTAATTCATTCATGAAACTATCAATAAATTAAACTTCCACTAATGTATATGAATTTATTTTTCAGTAATTATGTTCATTTCACATTTTTTAATTAAATATTTATATATTTCATTAATTTTAAAAGTAACAACAAATGAATTTTTAACACTTTTTAATCAGTAAATATCATTCAAGAAATAATTGCTTTTAAAATTTTTTGGTTAAATTCAAATAACTGCTTTAGAACATGCACTTACATATCCTCTAAAGACCTTTTATGTATAGTACAAACACATACAAGAATATGATATAGTTATGTAACATAATATCTTATAGTGGATATTTATAGTTTGCAAACTATGGATTTACAATATAATAAATATAAAATACAGTTTCATGTATGTTTAAATAGATCTATTCAACTGAAAAATAACCACCACCAAACAAATGGAACAAAAAGAATTTATTTTTCTGAGCAACTATACCAAAATATTTAGATTCAAAACAATGTCTTTTCTCTGTTTATATTCAACAAGTCAGCTGACTATGAGGTCTATCTAGAAATTTTATCCTATGATACATTTTTCTACTTCCAAAATTTCAAAAAATTATACAACAAAAATTTTACAATAACTGATAAAATTGGAATTTATATATTATATTGGGTTTCCTTCTCCTAGCTGAACAGATCATCCTCCAAAGGCAAAGATTATGCAATGTGTGGATTAGAAAAGCACAGGTACGGAATCCACCTATCTTCTGAGTGTGCTCTTCTAATCTAGATGGAGAAAGAAAGTGTGTAATCTTATACAGGAAATCCTTGGTAATTCAAACTCGGATAGTTCAAAATCCCATTGGTTCGTAACTGTACTTTTGTCTGGCCACAGAGATAAAGATTTACATGTTAAGGAATTTGGTTAATTCAAAATATGGCTACTTCATAATTCTAAGTGAAAAATCTGTTTGAACTGTGATGTGCTTATGTTAATTCATTCAATTAGAGAGAAGTGCCTCCACACCATAAGAGAACAATAGACAAAGAAAAATTCTAATCTAGTCATTAAGGTTTTGCTTTTACAGTAACACATTTTTGAATGTCACTTTACTCATGGAGTACACTTTTCCCCTTCTTATCTCTAAAATATGGCTGGATTTTGGGACTGCAAGATTGGGCTACAAGTAGCAGAGTGACATATTTGTAGGGCTCTAGACTACTACATTTGGATGAGTTACTATATTTAAGGCTAATTTAAAAATAATTGGGACACATTTCGAGGAATTCTGCTTAACCTTTTTAAAAATCTATCTGGCAACCTGTGAGGTTCTCACCAGATTTGTAATTTTTACTGCAGTTTTTTTATATTATTGTTAATTATTAATTAACAAAAATAGCATTCTGTATATATTACCATATTGTTTGCTTAACAAATTACATCAGTTACATGGCATTTGGCATATTATACATAAATATCTAAATCTTGAATAAATCAAACTTTGAACTAATAAGGATTTCCCGTCTTGGGTTTTATTCCTAATACTAAAGGATTCAATTTTGTTGTACTCCGACATATTTGTTTTAAAATCAGAACTAACATTTTTAGTATTATAGTGCATCCTCTGGTTCATGATAAGTCACAAAGAAGGGAACAATAATGAAAAGAGAGCAAAAACTGAATTATTATTCTGTGAAAGAAAATATTTAACCCAAATAGATGTTTTCTTTTTGCAGAATTATGAATGTTACATATTGAATCTGCAACTTAATTATAAAATTATTAGTGAAACAGTTTCCATTCTTTGTTTCAAATAAGATGGTGAGAAGCATTAACAAAATTCTAGCATTTAATTTAAAACGAAGTTAAATTGCTTCACTAGTGAATTTAATTACATAAAAATCCTAAATGTTTTCAAAAGTATTGATGATCTAATTATTAAATATTGAAAATCAACTATAAATCCTCAATGTACAGAAAGAACTTCAATATTATTTTAATTTAATTCCTGAAGAGGAGAAATAAATAAAAGCATTGATATTTTTCTATAATAATTAAATATTCCAAAAAATAAGATGACATATTTTAATGAAAATTAAGTTTTACTTAACAATTTTTTCTAATAATTAAAATTTCATATTAAGTAAAATTACTGTTATACTTAATCTATTTTTGCCCTAATATTCTAAATTTATAGCAGTACAATAGTAAATATCATCACAAAAAGAATTTCATAAATTTAAATTATACTAGTGCATTTCAAAGATAACAGAGTAACTACTAATATGATAGATTAAAACTTAACTTCTGGAAAACTATCCCAAAATTCCAGCAACTGATCAAACCCATCCAAATCCCTACAAGTTATTGATATATAAAAATACTTTTAGAATACTAATACAGCATAAACAATGAAAGCATATAGTATATCACTTCTCAAGCAATGAGAGATTGCATAAATTATATATGACAATTAA